GCTGCGAACCATGGATTAATCCCTGGCCCCTCATAGACCTCTTGAACAACACCATGGTCCCTGAACAGAGAGCCAAGAATAGCCACAGAGCACTCTTGGGTATGGGAAACCCCTGTCTCCCACCCCCAAAATAAAGTTTTTGTGTTAATGGGTTAGAGGTGGGGTCATTTGGAAACTCTATTTTACAATTTTTGAGAGGCTTGGCAGAGTCCCCTACCCCTGTGCCTGGCTGTCCTTGCCAGGGCCTTGGGGGGTGGGGGGGTTGAGTTTCTCTCCCTGCCCCGAGCAGAGCTCCGGCAGCCGAAGACCTCCAGAACCAGCCACAACCATGCTGCGACCACTCTCCACATGCACGAAGGTACTGGCAGAGGAACAAAGGCATGCGGGTCCTGGGGCTGAGATCTCCAAGCCTGCTCGGATTGGGACTGAGCATCCTCCACCGAGATCCTCCATCTTCCGGTAGACAGGGGTTACACCCGCCAACTGACCCCCTGGCGCCGTGTAATCCCATCAACGGCCAAGACCCAGAGACTACAAAACCCAGCTCCTGGAAGCGACATCTTATTATCTCATTCTTACTTTGGACAACCTGGCAGGCTACCGAATGTAATCTGCCCACACCACACGGCAGAGTCTGGCAAACTCCCCGTGGTGTGCCCAATATGCCAAATACCAGTAACAATGATGGGTCTCATTCTTCTAACCCTGAAAGAGCCTTGAATATGGCACTTTAAAATCTCAGGGCTGGGACGAAGGAGACGTTACTGGTGCCTGCTTGAGGCAATCAATGAACAACAGAATGATCTTGACTGTGAGAAGCTTGGAAACCAGTTTCCAAGGAGGCTGAAAACTAAGCAACTAAGCAACAATCCCGTCAGCTATATACGAGCATTCCTTTTCTTAACCACATCCCTTAGAGCACTTATTGTTTCCAAACTTCTTAACATAGAACAATCTCAAGTGGTGTGAGATGACATCTGAGTGTTATTTTGATTTTTATTTCCCTGATAGTCAGTGATGATGACATATGTTATTGGCCATCTTGATGTCATCTTTTAGTAATTGTCTTCCTATTTCCTATTTCCTCTTCCTATTTATTTATTTATTTATTTATTTGCCCCTTGGGTCACACTCAGCATTGCTCAGGGGTTACTCCTGGCTCTGCATTCAGGAATTACTTCTGGCAGTGCTTGGGGGGGCGGAGGGGGCGGGAACCATATAGGATGCCACGGATCAAATCCGGGTTGGCCACGCGCAAGGCAAATGCCCCATCTGCTGTGCTATCACCCTGGCCCCTCTTCCCATCTTTTTAATATGGTTGTTTGCTCTTTGTTGTTGAGCTTTGAGAGTGCTTTATATTGGGCAGTAGTCCTTTGAGGTGATGAATGAATATTTTTTCCAAATTTGTGTTGTAACTTTTTATTTTAGACCTCATTTGTTTTTCAGTGCAGACACTTTTTAGTCTGATATAGTCCCATATGCTTATACTTTTGTTATCTTTGCCAGAGGGATTGTATTATTGAAAACTCTGAGGTAAAGATCTTGGAGAAGTTTGCCTATGATTTCCTCAAGGCATTTTATAGAAGCAGGTTTGATATCAGGACTTTAATTAATTTTAGTTAATCTTTGTGTATGGTGTGAGATAGGGGTCAAATTTCTTTCTTTTTTTTGCATGTGGCTATCCAGTGTTTGCAGCACCATGATTGAAGAGGATTTTCATACTCCATTCCATGTACCTAGCCCCATTGTTATAAATTAACTGCCCTTGCATGTGAGGGTTTGTCTCTGTGTTCTCAATTCTATTCTATTGATCTGAGAATATGTTTATTCTTGGACCGTGCAGTCTTAATTTTAATAGCTTTGTAGTAAATATGAATGCCTGGGTTGCAATGCCTTCCATTTTTTTCCCCTTAGGATTTCTTTGGATAATCTGGGTGTTTTAAAGTTCCATGTAAATTTCAGAAGAATTCTATGTTCTTGAAAAATGTCATGGGAGGATAGGAGATATACTATAGCAGGTAGGGTGCTTGCCTTGCTTTGCATGTGGCCATCCAGGGTTCAACTCCCCCCACCCTGTATGGTCTCCTGAACCTTCGAGGAGTGATGTCTAAGTACAGGATATGCCCTGAGCATCAACAGATGTTACCTAAAACAAAAACAAACTGAAAAAAGAACAAAAAAAGAAGAATAAAGAAAAACACCATGGGGATTTTGATGAGAATTGTACTATCTATAAATTATGCTGAGAAATCTGGTCATTTATTTGTAGGCAGGAGACTTTGGAAGTACTCAGGTATGTGCTTCTGGTTCTGTGCTCAGAGGGCAGGCACCACCGTCGGTGTTCAAGGATAGTGATGAAACCAAGTTGTACTATGTTCCTCTGTACCAACTTGCATTCTAATGATGATGTTGATTTGTTTCTTCTTCTTTTTCTTTATTATTATTATTTTAATTTGGAGCTGGAGAGGTAGAACTGTGAGTAAGGCACTTGCCTTGCACACAACCAACCCGGGTTCAATCCGCAGCACCTCATATGGTCTCCAAGCACCTCCAAAAGTAGTTCCTGAGTACAGAGACAGGAATAAACCCCCTGAGCATCTCTGGGTATGGCCCCCCATAAACAAAACAAAATAAAATTTAATTTAAGAACTGATTTACAAATTTATTGATTGATGGGCTTTAGGCATACAATATTTTGACATCAATTCCACCACCAGTATCAACTTCCCCCCACCTATGAGTGTTCCCATGCTTTCCACCTCTTGCCTCCCAAGCCCCAGTTTCCTTCACAGGCACATTTCAAAGTTCTGTGGTTGCAGTTTAGATATCATACTTTCAGTCTTGTTAAGTCTCTCCTTTGGATATATAACTATACCACTCTCCCACATCAGTATAACTGAGACCCTGTTCTCCCATTACTTTCCTTTCTCATCTTCTTTCTTCCCGACTTGATTCCTTTCTTCTCTGTTCTCCCAGTACTATAAGATCAAGGCTGTTCTAGGCATCCCCCTTCCTTAGTTTTTTTTTTTTTTTTTTTTTTGCTCCTCCCAGCGGTACTCGGGTTGCTCCTCACTCTGCTTCGGAGTGACCCCTGGTGGTGCTTGGGGAATCATAGGCAATATAGGAGCTTAAAACCAGATAGCAGGCACCGTATGTCCCTTGTATTATCTCTCCATCCGCTCCGTGACTTTTTTTTTTGTTTGGTTGGGGGTGTTTAGGGCCGCAGCCAGTGTGTTCAGGAGCTTCTCCTGACTATACGCTCAGGAATGAGTCCTGGAGGTGCTTAGGGGACCATATTTAGTGTCAGGGATTCAAACCAGGGTGTGGCACCCACATGCTTATCCCTTACCTTTCTGTACCATCTTTCTGGTCCTCCTCAGTGACTTTTAAGTACTCCATCCGACCTCTTAAATAAAAAAAAAATTAAGCTTGTGAAAAACATGTGAAGACATGCCAGGCATCAGGCCCAGCACCTCTATCTTCCTAATCCCTTTCATTGTCAAAAAAGCCCCAAATATTTAAATATCCACTGGGAAAGGGTTAAGTTTGTTTCTCTATATTCATAAAGACATAATGTAATCTGCATAAATGGTGGGGATTATATGTATAATCTCTCGCCTTTTTTGGGGATGATGGGGGTTGATCCACACCTGGCGGTGCTTATGGGTTACTCCTAGCTCTGCATTCAGGAATTACTCCTGGAGGTGCTTATAGGATCATGTGGGATGTCGGGATGGAACCTGGGTCAGCCATGTGCAAGGCAAATGCCCCACCTACAGTACTATTGCTTTGGCCTCTGTTTCCTAGGTCTGAATTTGTTTTTCTCCCTGCTTGAGGGAACAGTATTCATGTTGGTTTGTTTTTTTTCATTGCTCTCTTCAGTTCTTTTTTCTTTCCCTTCCCCTCCAGTGAGTGACAGAATAGATCAGTCACGTGATGTAAACTAACTGGAGTTAAACATGATTTAAGAAACTATTAGATTATAAAAATACAGTTAGACAATAAAGTAAAATCAAATTATGAGATGTTATATAAACCTATTTATTTCATCTTTTCACCAAAATATGAAGAGTAAGTAGGTCAGAACATTATATGAGGTTAACATTTAAAAAAAAATTCAATTAAGGGGTTGGAAACAGTGTAGATAGGATAAGGCACTTTCCTTGCATCCCACCAATCCTGGTTAAAATACCTAGAACAATATATGGTGCTCTGAGATTTGCCAGAGGTCACTCCTGAGCACAAAGCTAGAGCTAACCCCCGACTACTGCCAAACAAAACCTCACGAACACAAAAGCAATTATAGCTTGTCGGTTTTATATGTATTTTTTGTTTGTTTGTTTTGCTTGGAGGCTGTACCCTGAAGAGCTCCCCACTCTGATCAGGGATCACTCTTGGTGGTGGTGTGGATTGAGCCAGACTGGCCTTGTGCCAGGCAAAATCTATAACCCTTGTACTATTTCAGGCCCTTGTCGTGTTTTTAGAACTCATCTACAGAAATTAGGAACCGCAACTTTTAGACAAGGACACTTTAATTTCAGCGCTGCCTCAAAGTCTAACGGGACAGATTTCTTCATTTTGTACTTAATTTGTTTGGGTTCATAGATAAGATGAATTTGCCTGTAGAGACCAGTCCACTAAGGAATTCATTGTTATGCAAAGAAGGAATCTTCATTCCACCATTTCTTCTCTATCCTTTTCCTATTAAAAATTCCTTATAAAGCGTTAGGGGCCAGAGTGATAGTACAGCAGGTAGGGCAGTTGCCTTGAATACAGGATCCTGACATTCCAGTGGGTCCCCCAAGCACTGCCAGGAATAATTCCTGAGTGCAAAGTCAGTAGTAACCCCTGAACATTGCTGGGTGTGGCCCCACAACAAACAAATAAACCTTAGAAAGAATATGGTTGTTTTGAGAACATGAGAATTTGTTTCTTGATGACTGGCCCTCGAGTAGTAGTGGAACTGAACCTTCACAGTTGTGTTATTGTTTTCTCCCTAGATTTCCTCATATTCTGGATTCTGACTGTTTATAATGAATGATACATTGGAGGTAGATGTCATTGGTCGAAGAGTTGAAGTTAATGGAGAACAAGCAACAGTGCGTTTTTCTGGCATTGTCCCTCCTGTGGCAGGTAATCTTTTTTTTTTTCTGTATATATTATCATATTGTTTTTGTGTAGATTCTAAATAGTGCTTTATAACACTAGTTTTAAAGAAATTTAACAACCAATTTATAGATGTCTTATATGTAGTTATCTTTTTTAGGGTGATAATATCTTATGTTTACCATGACTTGATTTGTACACTTAGTATTTTTGTTTGCTTGTTTTTGGGCCACAACTGGTGTGCCCCCTGGCTTTGTGTTCAGGGATCATTCCTGGTGAGGCTCTGGGGACCATATCCCATGCCAGGGATTGAACCTGGATCAGCTGCATATAAGGCAAGCATTCTACCTGCTGTACTATCCACTTCAGCCCCCCAGCTCATTTTCTTATTATTTGCATGTTCACTGGAGGAGCACTTTTAGTTTACTTCAATAACTTTTCCTTTGCATCCACAAATTGTCTATTTGGTGCAAGAGGCCTAGCTTTTAATCTGTCTTGGTTTTCAACATACCTTCCTCACTAAGATTAATCATTTCTAGCTTCTGATTTAAAGTGAGAATCAGATGACTTTTCCTTTCATTTGAACACTTAGAGGCCAGTGTAGGGACTGAAGCCATAGTACAGTGGATAAGATGTGTGCCTTAACTGGTCCAGGTTCCTTTCCTGGCACCAGTGTGATCCTCTGCCAGCAGTAATGCCTGAACTCAGAATCAGGAGTAAGCTCTGAGTACCGCTGGGTGTGGCCCCCAAAACCAAAATAAATAAATAAATAAATAAATAAATAAAAAAGAAGCCACTGTAGAGGGATTATGTGACCTAGTTTTAGTGTTGTTATCTCTTGGGGAATTTGGAGACTTGAGATGGTTAGAGATTGGGGACTGAGTGCTAGGTGGAGCAGTTGTACATACCCAGTGTATTGCTATGCTACCTTAAATTGGTGTTCACACTTTTAGTTGTGGTGCGTGCTGGGATTGCATTTCAGGTTGTACTGGCACACTTAGCTGAAGTGCTTGCTGAGGGTTGTATTTGTTTATTTTAATTTTTATTATTTGGTGTGTGTGTGTGTGTGTGTGTGTGTGTGTGTGTGTGTGTGTAATATCTGCAGTGCTCAGGGCTTACTCCTGGCTCTGAACTCTTGCAGGGCTCAGGAACTGTAAAGGATGCTGGGAATGGAACCCAGGGTGGCCGCATGTGAGGCATGCGCCCTAGAAATTGTACTTTTCAGTTGCAGTGCATGTGCACATACTTGCCAGGGTGTTACATTCTTTAGTTGTGTTGTTCACACACTGCATTTTGGTTTTAGTGTTCACTGGGGTTACTGTGGTGCTCTATATTTCCTGACTGTGGTAGTGAAACATCTCTTGCTTATTTTGTTGTGGCATAGATTCTGGCTTGGTGCTTGGAGGTCAGTGCTAGAGGGACTGTGCCATGCTAGGGACCAAACCAAGGCCTGCCCCAAGGGATACCGCTGTGCTGTCGGGTATTGGGTATCACTGGGCTGGAGCGGTAGCACAGCGGGTACAGTGTTTGCCTTGCATGCAGCTGACCCAGTCGACCCTGGCTCGATTCTTCCACCCCTCTCGGAGAGCTCGGCAAGCTACTGAGAGTATACCGCCGGCACGGCAGAGCCTGGCAAACTCCCCAGAGCATATTTGATATGCCAAAAAACAGTAACAACAAGTCTCACAATGGAGATGTTACTGGTGCCTGCTTGAGCAAATCGATGAACAACGGGAGGACAGTGCTACAGTGCTACAGTATTTTGGAGCTGGAATGATAGTATAGCAGATAGGCATTTGACCTTGCATGTGCCTACCCAGGTTAGATCCCCAGCATCCCCGAGCACTACCAGGAATAATCCATGAGTGCAGAACTAGGAGTAAACCCAGAGGATTGCCAGGTGTGGCACCAAAACAAAACAAAACAAAAGTAGGCCCTGAGCACTTCTGGGTGTGACCAAAACATCTCTTTGTCTGAATTGTAAAAATGTGATAAAAAATACATTCTTCACAAAGAGAAATGTCTATTGTGTTGTTAACATGACGAATGAAAGTAAATTTTCTGGCATTTAATAAGTGCCCCATAAGTTTTAGCCTATGTTGTTTTCTGCACTTGTAGCTTTTGTTGGTGCTGGTCCCAGACATGTTAGATTTCCTAAAGTTAACCTTGAAGCCCTGAGTCTAATGCTTTCTCAAGGATATTTTTCTCCCAGTGGCTCCTGTATAATGTAGCTACTATTGCAAACTGTATCTGTCTCCTCCAAAATAGAGCATGTTTTTCATCTGGGGAACATAAAGTAACAAAATAGGAGAGTAACACCCAAGAGTGGCCGAGATTAGTACCAGGATTTTTGCTCCATGACTTGGAAGCCAGCCATACGTGCTAGGGGAAAAGGCAGCTCAGATAGAAAAGGGAGCACCAAATAAAGGGTGTTGGGAGGATCCTCCCAGGATGGGAGAAGCGTGCTGAAAGTAGATTATAGACCAAACATGATTGCCACTCATTGCCTCTCTTGCAAACCACAGGACCCAAAAGGAGAGAGAGAGAACAAAAGGGAATGCCCTGCCACAGAAGCAGGGTGGGTTGGGAGGGATGGGGGGTGGGAGGGATATTGGGACCCGTGGTGGTGGAGGATGGGCGCTGGTGGAGGGATGGGTACTTGATCATTGATCATTATATAACTGAAACCCAAGCATAAAAATTTGTAAGTCTATAACTGTACCTCATGGTGTTTCACTAATAAAAAAAAAAAAGAGCATGTTTTTGATTCATCAATTTTATTCATTTTTTTTCCCTTGCTAGGACTCTGGTTAGGCGTAGAATGGGACAATCCAGAGAGAGGAAAGCATGATGGAAGCCACGAAGGGATTGTGTATTTTAAATGCAGGTAAAATTTTTCCTATGAGTTGGCATGGTTATTTAAGTTAAATTTTTGCTGTTGTTTGTTATTTTGGGGTCACACCTGGCAGTGCTCCAGGGGAACCATATGTAGTGCTGGGTATTGACCTGGAGTTGGCAAGGCAAGCACCCTAATAGCTATGTTATCTCTCCAGCCCTGAAGATTGTAGAAGATTGTGAAGATTGTAATTTTCGTATTTTTTTTTCAAATGTCGCCTCCATTATGGAAAAGGGAATTGAACTGCAGGATGAAAGTTTCAGCTCAGGGGCTCAAGAGATAGTACAGTGAGTAGGGCCCCTGCACATGGCTGACACAGGTTTGAACCTCAAGACGGCATATGGTCCCCTACCAGGGTACTGCTAGTCCTGCTAGGAGTGATCTCTGAGCCAGGAGTAGGCCCTGAGCACTTCTGGGTGTGGCCAAAAAAACCCAAACAAACAATCCATTTTCACTTAAAGCCTTCCCATCTCTGGAAAGAACTCTGTCTCCCTGGGGAGGGTGATGGTACCTCTGTTGGCATTGGGGAATTTACCCACAGATCTTCCTGCTCACCCCTAGAGGACAGGAGGGTGCCGTATTGTAACTTTCAAGGCCAGGCATATGGCATCTTTTCTTTTCAGTATATTCCTATCTTTTCCCCATCAGTTCAACTCATGTTGATCATGAGACTTCAGCTTACAACAGAGTTTACAGCTGTCCAACCTCTGCTTGGACCTAAAAGCTATAGGGCTGAGAACGCTGAAGTAATAATACAACCGGTAGGGTGTTTGTCTTACACGTGACTGACATGGATTCAATCCCTGGCATCCCATATGGTCCTCCCAGCACCACCAGGAGTGATTCCTGAGTGAAGAACCAGCATTAACCCTGACCCACCAAAGCAGACAAGAATATAGTATCGCATAGGGCTGGAATGATAGTCAGCAGATAAGGTGCTTGCCTTGCATGTGACGGGCCAGGGTTTGATCCCTGGCATCGCATTTGATTTCTCCAAACCCCTCTAGTAGTGACCCCTGAGTATCACCAGGTGTGGCCCCAAAACCAAATACATAAAAAGAACATAGTGTGGCAGCCAAGGATGTGGCACCAGAGCACTGGCCTTGCAAGGGGAAGACCTGGGTTCTGTCACTGACACACCACACACACACATAATTAAAAAAAAACAAAAAAGAATATAGGGTATGCTTTATCCCAAGAAATATTTTTATAGCTGGCTTACAGTGCTTCCATACCCTTATTTGGTCTCACTGAGATGGTCATGATAGGTATAATTATTGTCTTTCATTGATAAACAAACCAAGCATTATGATTATGAGAATAGCATGAAAAAGTGGAGTCCAGTAGAAATCTTGGACATACTTCATTGAACGCCTCAGGTAATAGGGTAGGTTCCCCCGCATCGAATAGTGGAATAGTGTCAATAAAAGGAGTAGGGGGAGAACATGTTGCCCACTTCACAAGGCCCCTTCTAAGCATAGTTTTAATAATTTCCTGGTCCTCTTTAAGTTTCAGTTTGATCTCTTTTTTTCTCTCCTATTACCCAAGTTAAATATGGCAATCTCCTGAACTGTTATTACATAAATAATATGCGTGATACTATCAATTAATAGTAGTTTATAGGTTTATGTCAAATTTATGGCTGTGAACTAATCCCTCGTGTTTTTCTCAGGTGCTTCTCGGCTCCTTCTGTTCTTTTGGGGAGTCGAGGGGTTCAGTTAGGGTGATTCACCTTGAAGTGCTCTCCGCCTCTTCCCTGGATCGCTGAGTGTTTTACTGTGTTATTCCAGCAACCTCCGCTGGAGAGGAGACTCTAAACAGAGCTCTAGTGTCAGTATTGCCACCACCTGCTTGTACTTGTTTTATTGAAGTGTGCTTGTCATTTTGCCTCCAGAGGAGAGTTTCTTTGCTTGGGTTTTGGTCTCCACCATCGAGCAGCACCTGCAGGTCTACTCCTCAGGCTTGCCCAGAATGATTCCTGACTGACTTGCTGTGAAGGGGTAGAAAGTGATTTCACATAGAGCGGAGGAGCAAATAGCCCTCAAAGACACTTGGGAACTGTAGGTGATAATGCAGCCCCTAAGGTGTTATCAATTAGCAAACTTCTTTGTTGCGATTGTTTTGGGGTTCCGGTGGTGTTGCTGGGGTGAGGCTCAGGGGTGGGGAGTGGGGGTGCATTGGCCCACATTTGCCTGTCTTTTCTTCAGTGCTAGTAAGTGGACTCAATTACTGTCCTAATGAAATACTGTCCTAGACTCTGTCCACATGTACTGACGACCTTACGAATGAAAAGCCCCTAATTTAGTGAGCCTGTGTGTATCTCAGACTGTGCTAGAGCGTTTGGAGGTTCTGTTTTCTTTTTGCTTGGCTACCGACCAAACCCAGGCCTTTATAGATTCCAGGCTTATGTTCTGTCATGAAGGCACATCCCCACCCTATTTTGAATTTCTTGAATGAGTACAGATAGAGTGTGATAAAATATTCTGGTATGCAGTAGGTATACAAAGAGCTTTCTTTGTAAAATCACTAAAGATTCTGATAGTGTACTGGTAGGGCCTATCTTTCCAAAGATGAAGTATTTTTTTCCTCCTTTTACTTTTTTTTTTAATTTATTGAATCACTGTGAGAATAGTTACAAAGCTTTCAGGTTTATGTCTCGGTCATACAATGATCAAACACCCATCCCTTCACCGGTGCACATTTTCCACCACCAAGAACCCCAGTATACTCCCCATCCCTCCTCTCCTTCTGCCTGTGTGGCAGATAATTTCTACTTTATTCTCTCTCTATTTTGATTACATTCAACAGCTTGACAAAAAACCCACCATTGTTACTTGAAATTCTCCCCCAACAATCAGACCTATGATAAGGCACTTTCTGTAGCACTGTCCTCCCTTTGTTATCAATTTGCTTGAGCGGGTACCAGTAACGTCTCCATTGTGAGACTTGCTGTTACTGTTTTTGGCATATCAAATGCGCCACAGGGAGCTTGCCAGGCTCTGCCGTGTGGGCGGGATACTCTTGGTAGCTTGCCGGGCACTCCGACAGGGGCGGAGGAATTGAACCCGGTTTGGCACATGCAAGGTAAACGCCCTACCCACTGTGCTATTGCTCCAACCTGAAAAGGCATCATTAGATAATTTTCTATTGCTGACTATGAAGATTATATGATGTTGTGCTGTCACAATAGCAGCCGTGTGATTTTGGAATTCTGCTATTTCAACAATTAAGTCTGGAGGGATTTCTGCCAAAAGCCGCTGGGTTCTGAGATTCGGTTGTGTGTGTCTGGGATCATGGCCATTAAGGAGCTCCAAAAGTTGCTGGAGGAGCCATTTGTGGGCGGCAACTCCACATTCCTTTTTTTGTTGTTGAGCTGTTTTTGCTGTGATGATGGGGTGGTGGTAAGGGGGGTGGTCACAGACTCTTGGTTGTGTCTCACTGGGAGTTGCACATTTAGTTGTGGAGCTCACACACTTTGGTTGTAGTGCTCACTCACACCTGGTTGGGGTGTGCCAGAGGTCACATGCTTTGTTGTGTCAGGGGTGACTGTAAAAAGCACCACTGATTGGGGTCCTGCAAAGTCTGAGGGCTAGCATTGAGCTACCTGTGGACTAGTGCTGGGATCCTGTGGGCCAGTGCTGGGGTCCTGTGGGCTAGTGCAGGGGGATCAAACTCACTCCAGACTCAAGCCTCCAGGGCAGGTGTGCCACCATGGAGGTATCCTAGGGCCTTGATTTATTTTTGGAAACCTCCTACTCTTTTTTTTTTATTTTTTTGCTTTGTTGGGTCACACCTGGCGATGCACAGGGGTTACTCCTGGCTTTGCACTCAGGAGTTACTCCTCGCGGTGCTCAGGGGACCATATGGGATGCTGGGAATCAAACCCGGGTCGATCGCGTGCAAGACAAACGCCCTACCCGCTGTGCTGTCTCTCCAGCCCCAGAAACCTCCTACTCTTGAGGGGGAAAAGTTATGTCCTTCCAAAACAATCTATCAAAAAAGATGCTTATCTACAGGGCTGCTCTTTTCCTGGGAAAATAAATTCATCAGATCATTTCTAGTATAATACAAAGTAAATCAAATTGAAGTGTTTCTCCTTTCTTATGAGACTCTGAGTTCAGTCCCTGGCTGCATGTGGCCCCTGAGCACCTCCAGGCACCATAGGGCCGAGCTCCACAGGCACTTAACTGTCAGTTTCCACTATACTGAGCATCATTAGAAGGGGGCCCTGTACTCTAGACGCCCCTGTTAAAACAAAAAGGAGACCGGGTGATAGTACAGTGATTAGGGCTTACATTGGATGCAGCTAATGGGTTTAATTCTTTTTTTTTTTCTTTGCTCTTTGGGTCACACCCAGCAATGCACAGGGGTTACTCCTGGCTTTATACTCAGGAATTACTCCTGGCGGTGCTCAGGGGAACATATGGGATGCCGGGGATCGAACCCAGGTTGGCCGTGTGCAAGGCAAATGCGCTACCCACTGTACTAGCTCCAGCCCAACAGGGGTTCAATTCTTGGCACCCCATATGGTGCCTAGAGCCCCTCTAGGAGTGACTCCTGAGCTTAGAGCTAAGAGTAAGGGCTAAGTAATGCCTAACGTCATTCTATGCCCTCCTAACCCCCCAACACACACACACACACACACACACACACACACACACACACACACAGAGGGCTGGAGATATAACTCAAATGGCTGAAAGGCACGTTTTGCATGTAGGAAGTGCTGATTTGATCCCTGTTACCACCTGGTCCCCTGACCACAGCCAGGAGCGATTCTCGCACACCAAGTTGGAAGTACCCTCTGAGCTGCTTTGTCCTGAAACAAACAATAGAATAGATCTGGGACTACTTATACTAAAAATATGTTATTTATTTTTTATGTTTACTTTTGTTGTTGTTGGGTTACACCCAGCAGTGCTCAGGGGACCATGTAATCCAGGGATTGAAACCAGGTTTCTTGCAGGACTGCACACATAGAATACATTCAG